TTTCATCATTATTAAATTGTTATATAATTTATAATTATTCTATATATAGTAGTTCCAGTATGAAGGAAATAATATTGTTTCCCTGAAAACACAATGTCGCTTTATTAAAAATTCGATATGTCATAAATTTTACAAGGAATATTAAAAAGTAATAATAAATTTTTAATTTATTAACTGTATGTGTGTGGTCGTTGAACGAGTATAAGAATATCGGCGAGATGAAAATTTCGATTATTTTTACTTTCTAGCTATCGCTATGTTATATATTTTTTTCATAGTACTTTTTAAATTTGTTTTGGTTCTTAAATATATCTTATAATTAATAGATAATATATATAATTTATCTCACTCCTATCGTTATCTTTAAATATAACATAGAAATTGGTCTAAATAAAGCCGATTATTAATATAGTAAAAATATTAATTTCTTATAATATATATTAATCTCGTAGGTATAGATAAACATCACGTTATAACGTAATATTGAAGAGCATGATGCGTAATTTGATTAATAAAACCATATTGCACACAAAGTCGAGATATTACCATACTGTTTCATGTAAAATATAATTGAGATTTACAGTTTATATAAAACAAAATGTTAAAATTACACATACATACACGCAAACATATGTAATATAAGAAATTCGTATATATATATATATATATATATATATATATATATATATATATATATACGAGTTCAAAATTTGGTTTAATAAACAGTTATTATGTTAGGCTGGAAGCAATTTGGTGGGACATTTAAAATATTTTTCTCATGCTTTATCTTATAAACTCTTTTGTTTCTGCTGAATATTTTTGACAATATTAGCTGTCCCTTATTTATTTTTCTTTATTCCGCGTTTCTTCTTCGCTTCTATATTTTATGTACTTTAAATGCTATATGTTTCTATTTCACTGCAATTTCATTTTCAAGAAACAAAGCGCCAGGAAATCAATGACATCTTTGAAAATAGGAAACATTAGCCTTTGTTAGCGCGCATAGTGAAAAGGCTTTTAGAAACACGAATCTTCCAACTGATCCTTGTTAATTTAGCTTCCAACCTAGCATCATCTTTTTGATATACAAAACATGTTTCTTCAAACGAACGTAACATATAATATTTATAGAAGAATCTAAAAATATTTTACAACATATTTTAGACATGAATGTTCTTTGATCATTATATAGATCAAAGGATTATAATTTTTTTGTTAATTATCGACTATTCTCAATTCTTCCAAATAGATCAACGAACATTTTGCTATCCGCTACAAACAACACGCAACAAATCCATTGGACAAAATCGGGATTCTATTTGTGATGATTTATATTATATTTTATAACGAGATTTGTGTCATTTCTTTCTAATGAATGCTTATCACAAAAGAGAAACATCATTTGCAATGTCTGATATTACGTTACTCAAAATTACATTAATATCTAATATTACAAAATTATTTGGGGAGATAATGTTCCTATATCATTGCCAAAATATCAATATATAAATAATTTTTTATTCAAATATTTTTTTGTTTTGTTGATGGGGGAAATTATACATTCTGTAATTTATTATAAATTAATTTAAATAAAATGAAAAAATTGCAAACAATTTTGCTAGAGGTCTAAAAATTAGATCTTACTTGTTTTATCTTAAGCATTGCTTTATATAAAAGTACATTCTTCAATCTCTTAAGAAATATATTTCTTAAATTTATGTCGGAAAAAAATAAATACAGTACTGTAAATTCTTGGGATGGAATCAAATATTAAATCTTTGCGCTTTCTTCAACATTTACATATATTGTATAAATTAAAAATTATTAATTTCGTTTTTATTTAGAGATAAATTTTACCTTTTTCTTCTTAGAACAATTTCAATTACAAAATAAATTAGATAGTAATAAAATAAGATAAATTAAATTAAAGTGTATGCTTTGTGCATTTACAACAGAAATAAACACAATAAATATAATTTTATTACGAAAAAAATTTTGTAATTAGAAAATGAAATAAATAAAAATCATACTACACTCCCGTGAAAAGATATTAAGAAATAATTGTGAAATTGAAAGTAAAATTATATAAGAATAGAATACATGTGGAAAAATTGGTGTCTTTTAACAATATCAGACAAAAAGGAGTATGATATAAAAACTTAATGGCTGAGAGATGGACAGGCCCGTAGAAATAAAATCTGCACACCGCGAGAATTTATCGAGCTCATGTGTGGGCGAAGATTCAAATAAATAAAAATCTGACTTTATGTGCTTGTGCTATATACATAGCGATTTTATACAGGACAATAAAGTTAGCCACGAATAGAAGACAATTAATCGTGGCAATTTCTTGTAGCAATTGCGGCAATTCGGTCTAGGAGTACTTTATCAAATAGACGGACAGATTTAAGAGAGCTCTAATTTATTGCGGCGACGTGATTCCCGTACATTTTTATTTCTAAAAATAAAAATAAATTAAAAATCAAAATAAAATTTCTCGCCTTTTCACGGTCTCTGTGATATCAATAAAAATATCAAGCGTGTTGAACGTATAGCTTTGCAATAAACACAAATACGAGGTAAACAATTTGATTATTACACCCGCATATGGCACGCGCTCTTTAAATCAAGAACTATTATTTCTCTCTTGTTTTATCTCGGATGTTTGATATTATAAAAATTAATTAAAGAGATTCAAACTCTTTGTTTTGAACAAATTTTATCAGATGGTTCAATTTATTTGCCCGATGAGAAATCATAATGCATCTTAAACAATTTTAGATATACTTATAAAAATTTGGAAGAAAAGTTTGCATTTGTATCTCTTATTCATAATTATAAAAAATATTGCTAAATATATATATATATATATATATATATATATATATATATATATATATTGAACATTTAAATGAAGAAATAAATTGTATCTGTAATTTCAAAATATATTTAAAATTCTTTGTAAAAAGTATAATTAAATTATTAAAAATATATATTTATGAAGAAAGTAAATATATAAATTTGTTGCTTCAATAAACGCAATTGTTTATGGTATTAATGATATACATAAATCTTGACTAGTAATAAGAAAGATGATACCGTATCGTAATTGTCTTTATTTTCTTTTTACAATTGTAAATTGTCATTAGAAAATTAATATTTCAATTACAATAGTCTTCAATGTTTCTCGCATTCAAAGAGGCATAAAAATAGTTAAAAGAAAAATACTTTGTATAGAGATTTTTTGTTACTTTTTAAAGGTAAAATGCAAATTATGAATGTAATTTGCATTTAGTTAGAGTAAAGGAGGTGGAAGTTGCGTCGAGGAAATTCTTTTTTAATATTTAATTGCATAAATATGAATCGCAAAGCAAGACTGTCCTTTAGCCGTAAAGTTCTACTTCTCGCATTGCATCGTTAATTATGTTAATTATTGTGCGCGTTTTCATGGCTCAGCCTTCGAATAATTCTATGATGAAGTCGTCTATTTTGTAAGTTGGTAAAAACAGTAAGCCAACTTTTGTGTTAATCTACACGTAATAAAAATGAATATTTAATTATTCTACTCTGATTATTTTCAACCCTTTGTCTCTCGATTGTGATGTAAAACTAATTGTTTATCATCCTAGATACATATTTTCACTAAAGAGTTTGTGATAATATTTTTGAATAAAGTTTAGATCACGCACAATGACAATTAAAAATTATTTCAAACGAAACATAGATTTAATTAAGAACGTACATATACGTACGTATATTTTACTTTAAATTTTATTATAAAAAATTTTCTCTCGTGAAATGATATATTATGATATAATTGAAATATTTTTTCAAACAAATAGAAGATATAGAAGAAGATATAGAGATAAATAAATGCTACGCGTATGTTTTCAATAGCTTGATACGATTTTTTTTAACATCTTAAAGAAAAAGTCGCTATTAACTCTCTAACAAAAAAAAAATAAATAATATTATATTTAGATGCCATCATTGCGCATTAATCTGTATTAAGATATTATAAGCTATTTAAGCAACTGCACTACACATTTTTTCAAAAATAAAACTTCTCGTTTTTTGCTTTATAATGTAGTAAAGCTATGAAAAATTGCGTTTCTTTAATTATAGAAAATTATATTTTACTGTACGTAAATTATATTTTACTGTTATACTTTATTGTACGGGCTTGATGCATTATAGTAATTTTTGACTGCAAATCTTGAGCTATTTAAATTCAATTTAATAGTACTTTGTTACATTCCAATTAAGCCGTTCTAACAAGCTAATTATTAACAATTTGCTTGGCGCACGATAGTTTAAATGTTTTTATCATCGTATATATACATATATATAAAATACAAATAGAATCCAGTCCCATTGTGTAAGATCAACATAATTATTAATTACGAGTTCTCTGAATAGCTAGAATACTTTGAGCAAACTAAATAAAATAATAATCAAATGAAAATAAATTGATCATATTTATTAATTGATAGTAAATGGATATTGAAACGCAAAGAGTTAATAGAAATCGGAAATAATAAAGTAATCTTTTGACAAATATTTTTCTTATCATAAGAGTGTACCGATTTATAATTTTCTCTGTATAATATATATTTCACGGTCTAACTTTTTACAAACTTTGAAACCTTGTTTAAATTGTAACAGAGATGAAGATATAAGCAGACCAGCTGCGTAAGGTATCATGATCTTTTGTTTTTCTTTATATATTATTTAATTAAAAATTTCCAAGAAATAAAATGAGCTGTTTGTGAATGACTATTGTCATTCACGTGGTTCTCATCAGTTTCATCGTTGTTTATATGCCAGCATGGTAATTATAGAGAATTGATAATTTTTTAGCTCTTTTTTCTAAAAATATTTCTCGAGGAATCTCATAAACAATTGCATTACAAAATTACCAATGATAATAATCTGGCAGCTCTTGTCAAGCGCTTTCACATACCTATCACATCTGTTTTTAAATATAATATTATTGTGCGTATGTCGTTAATTAATCGGACGCATCCGATCAATCTGATTGATTGTAATATAAATGAGTAATGTATAAAATTGAAAAGAAATACATTGGAAAAACATAGTGGCTTACCAACCAACTTAAGCAAATATTTGTTACACATCTGGTATGTCGCATGTCTGGGATGAAGCCGATGCTCGAAAATGCCCTGGGCGTTTAAAGTTCGCGCAACGAGGATGCAATTAGGACCAGTGGCAGTAGCGAGCAAATAAATTTCACCTCTTTTTGCTTGCCGCTATGTTTGCACGAGTAACTGGCGAATCGCGTAGACATCTCTCTTCAATTCGCGGACTTGCAATACGCGTGTCTGAAAGGGAGTTAATCAGTGAACTCTCTTTACACCGGATAGCAAAAGGTCCGTTGGTTTCTTCGGCGCTAGACTTGAGTGACCTGGGTCACCGTGTGATTAGTAGTTCCGGTATGCCCGTTATTCTCCATCGGTTGGTGCGGCATTGCCATCCATCTGCCGATCAGCCGCCATCGACTGCAGAATAGTTGATTAAAGGTCTTGCGGAATTGACGGCTCATAGTGCAATACAGAATAAAGTTGATGGCCGAGTTTATGAGTGTCAGGATGTCTATCACGTCACCTGTCGAAGAAGGAAACAAACTTGATTAGCATGAGTTTTAAATTATCGGGAATAACTTATGTTTTAAAACTTTTCCAACAGCTCTTGAACGAATCTTTTTTTTTTAAACTTTGCCCCTAAAATTTGTGATATATAAGTTTCTTATTGATATAGAAGAGAAATTCTAACAAAATCGATTCGGAAATTTATTTTGTGATTTAAGTTTATCTGAGTTTAGGGTCGTAAATGTTAAAGGTGAATTATAACCGAAAAGTCTTATAAATATATTTTTCATTTAAAAAGAATCTCGTGTACTAAATTGTCGGAAGTAGATTAGATTAGAGTTAAAATTTTTCTTTTTCCAAATTTATATATGCATCATATTTAGGATTTTTTAATTCAACTGCCTATATGAGTTAAATTCCGAAGGATTTGCAAATGTGAGTTTGTAGAAGTTTATTTCGCAGGCTTTACTAAAGTTCTTTTTTGCAATCTTTTCTATAAAAGGCTCGTAGAAATATCTCTTTCCGTATTTATTTCGATGTTTTTTTCTCTTTCTTCTCTAGAGTATTCATCTTCTTTTAATTTTAAAGAGATATGCTCCCTTTATCTCCTCGAGTATACGTAATAATTTAAACTTGCGGCGAAGCTTAAAAAAATCAAAGCAAACGTCTTGATTTACAAGCGGCCAAGCAGGAAGTAAGCATTTCACGCATCAAGACGACAAACGTCTGTCGATATCGGAATACCATAAATAAAGCACCGTATTTTGTAATACTTCATACGTGAAAAAGATAGAGTATGCATCTGAGCGAGTACATTCTTGGCACGTTTTTGAGATTGAACGGAAGCTTTCACGTGCCAATACGAATTCTTCCACCGGAACGGCAAAGTGCAGAAATTTTAAACGCATGGTGTGACGCTTCCGTGTTAAATAATGGTATTCTTATAATAAATCGTTAAGTATTTTGCGATATTTTATTACATGTGATTAACTAGATAATTTTCCAAGTCGCAGAATTTTATATGAAATTACGTATGATTTACATGACGTGCCCGGAAATCTTAATTTATGTTCTTTATAATAATATATCATGTATTTTATTACGAGAATATTATCTCTAAAAACATGACTATCCAAACATTTAATTTTAATCTGAGCAGACGATTATTTTAACGGTTTGGCTTAAATATGATTTAATATTTCTATATTATGTCTGTATCATATATGTGATGATCTATCATTTTGAAATATCAACATTTAGCGACTTACGGGTAGAATATTAAAAAACTGTTATTACACATGCTATATAAAAAAAATAATTGATTTTTATATAAAATTATTAAAAATTTATCTCATAAACTTTCCAATGAAGAATTCTCTTGATTCTTGATAATATTTAATTTGATTTTAGACAAACATACGATATTTTTCATAATAAGAACGTTAGATTAATCTGGTACTTAGCATTTGTATTTTACATGATTTGTAAATATAGTATTAAATTTGTCAAATATATATAATTTCGAAACGGACTGTTACTCGAAACTATTGTTAAAAAGTAAAAAAATGTAGATATCATATCATTCTTTCTCTCTCTTTCTTTTCTCTCTCTCTTTTCTCTCTCTCTTTTTTTTCTCTTGTAGGGTTAGAGAAAAATGTTCTCCCGTCATACCACATATATCACTACGCTTTCAACACGTCATGTCCGTGAAACGAATCAGCATTGTCTACCGTTCGTCGAGTCAATAGGACTGATGCGATCCAATTTTTGTAACGATACCGAAATCGCTCGTGTACGTGACGTTGTTTGGTCTTGTGCGATATACAACATTGCAAAGGTTGTATACGACATTCGACGAATAGACCGTTTGTTGTCGGGGAGTAAAAAAAATTCTTTTTGCATCGTTGCATTTCAACTTTCGTTGTGTTACGCGACAAGAATGCGAACACGCGTTCCTTTTTGATTTCTTTTGAAAGCGCTATACGATATTTATGTGTGAATTTATCCTGCCCCTATATAACACGTCCGGTTAACTTCTATATCGCCGTCGCAAGTTGTAGATAATTCAACAAAATCGCGTGGCGTTTGCGCAAATCCGCATTTTACGCGATGTTTAACGTGACATTTTATGTTGTCGGAGACAATAATAGGGAAATACACCATACTCCGTAGGTTCCCGGAATAAATTGTACGTCAAAGCACCGTAGTACGACGTAAGACAAGGTTTTCACGCCAATTTTCATCTTATATCTACATCTTTTCCTCAGTATAATTTATAACAATTACGTATCTCAGAAATGAAGAATGCTATAGTAGATATTTATATATATGTTTTAGAATATATCCTATATATCATTATTTAAATTTTATTAATTTTTTATGTATTAATATTAATGTGTTGTATGTTTTGTTCATTCTTACCGCATAATTCTGATTTTTTGATTGATCTGGAATTGGATTTTTAAATGCGAAAATAGAATAAAACAATTTATAGACGGTTCTAAGCGATTCTAGATATAATAATTATTTATTTATAATAATTTATTCATGATACGTTTGGTTTTATGATTATTGCTACGATTTCTCTTTAAACAGTCCGTGTTTGCATGTGCTATCTCACATTATCTGTACAACTCCACGTAACACATATACGTCAGTGTTTATTTTGCAAAAAGCCCTCGTTATTGAAGTATAATATGAACACAGACGGTATGAATAATAGAAGCGAGTACAATACGAGTGCACGTCAAATAAGACCTCGCTTGTAATACCGGTATCCTTTGTCATTGCCTTAGCCGCGCTGTTTTAATGCTACACAATAAATACGGTGCATCTCTCAATATCGAACGTTAAGTAAATAGTCTCGAGAGAGAGAAAGAGCAGAGAGAATCCTCGTAGTAAGGAATCGGTAACATCGCCGTTGTTTTCAGAAGTGTGAAAATAGAGGAAAATAGAGCGACTAATATTACCATCGAATTCTCGCCAGTGTACATATATCTTTGTTTGAAATCTCGAGGTGATTCTTCGCTTTATATCGAAATAGTCAGCTATTTGCAATCTTTTATTTCGATAATAAGTATTTGAACAATAAACACGGTGTGGTTTTAAAATAATAGAAACAAGACAAACATTTATTCGAGTCGTTTGCGCTTGCTTATTTTATAATAAGAAAGATAATAGGAAAATGAGATATTTATTATGTCTATGATTTATAAAATTTATTAAATATTTAATTTTAAGTTGTAAGTGTTTAAGTTTTGCAAAAAATAGAAACATAAATTATATAGATACGTATTTTTACAGAAGTAACCACGACAAAATATATTACAAATATATTACAAATATATTATAAAATATATTACAATATTTTGAAATATGTACTATGATATTTAATATTTTTTAACAAATTATTTATCATTGAATAGAAAATTACTAATACTTGATTTTATTTGTTCTTAAGATAAATATCCTTTGTTCATTTAGAAGAGTATATAGTTTATTATTCTTTGTAGAATTTAAATTATTAATTGAAATTCATCAAAAAGAAATAATTTAATAATAACATTTTTTTATATAATTTAGTAATAAACCAGCTATAATATATGAATCTTTCGAAATGATTAAATAGTAATGCAAAATACTACATTTTATATCATTTTTTCTATAAGTACTTTATGAAAATGTGTGCTATTTTTCAAAAAAACAATGCTTCGATTATTACTCGATTTTTGCTAATTCAACTGCTATCGGGAAACGAAGAAGAATAACAATAATAACAATAATAAATAAATAACAATAAAAATACAACACAAAATACACAAATACAAAATACACAATATAATAATAATAATAATAATAATAATAATAAATAACAATAAAGCTAAAATAAGCTAAAATCAGAGGAAAAATGCTATATTATGTAATTATACAATTCTATGAGAGCTATACTATTCTCTTAATGAGATTACGCGTCATTTCTCAGAAAACTATTACAATGCTCCGTCTATTCTTCGCCTTACTCAAGTTCTAACATTCTCACGTCTTCAGACGATTGTTGTCGTTCATGTAGAAAATGAGAGAGAGAAAGAGAAAAAGAAAGAAAGACGTCGAGCACGTGTCTTTTTCTTCTTCAATAGGATTCGTGAAACACTCGGTAAGAGTGATTCTCAATCAGTGCGGTGGAGTCGTAAGAACAAAGACCAAAAATAGAGTCCCAGAGATGGTTCCATATGCGATCTTCATCGTTAATCTATTAGGGTATTCTCTTTTTGTGTAATCGGAAAAAATATTTCTTTCCTGATTTTATGATTAAACGAGAGAAAGATAAATTGTTTCTTCTCTTTTTTTTCTTTGTGTTTTTATATCCTCGTTTGAATTCAATTCGATATTTTGATAACTATACGATAGAATAGCACAGGTTGAATCGATACGTGACGTTCGAGACGTTTGCGTTTCGTTATAGTGAGATGTTCGTAGTTGTTTGTTAAATGTTACTGCACGAACGAACATGTATGCTTCCACACATTTTGTTCGAATTTTCCGCTTATAAACATAACTTTTGTGACAATATTGCGATATAGTGGAGTTTTTTGAACTATTTCTGTTGTCCCATGTATGCGTCGATAAATTAGAAACAGAGAATATAATTAAAGAATATAACAATATGAAAATAATGAATATTATTTTCTTTTTCTTTTACGATTATATATAAAATTATATATATACTAATATAATTTCTTTATTTTATATATATTCATTATTCATATATTTTACATGAACTATTATGCAATTTTTCATTAATCCAATAAAGCATTTCAAATAACGCTTTGAGGGATGTTTTTTCTCATTTATATATATATATATATATATATATATATATATATATATATATACACACCATAAACCAAGAAAACAAAAAAATTATTATTTGAAATACTTTATTACAGTTTAATTATGTGCATATATGAGGTTAATGGAAAATAATTTGCATAATAGTTTGCATAATAATTCATGTAA